CCTTCCTTCCTTCCTTCCTTCCTTCCTTCCTTCCTTCCTTCCTTCCTCCCTTCCTTCCTTCCTTCCTTCCTTCCTCCCTTCCTCCCTTCCTCCCTTCCTCCCTTTCTTTCTTTCTTTTGTGCTGGTCCTGGGGCTTGAACTCAGGGCCTGGATACTGCCCCTTTTACACGTCTAGCACTCTACCACTTAAGCCACAGCTCCACTTTGGGCTTCTTTGGGGATTAATTAGAGATAAAAGTATCATTGACTTTTCTGTCCAGGCTGGTTTTGAGCCTTAGATCTCAGTCTCCTGAGATCTTCTCAAGTGGGGCATGTTGGGGGGGGGGGGTATTTACGAGGGTTTCTAAACAATGGATGAAGAGGGCCCAAGAAAGAGGGCTAGGGCAACCGAGGGCTCCTCTCCCAGGAGAACCCAAGACCCCATGAGACTTCTGTCTGCCACCCTTGGCAGATCCGAGGTGGGAAAAAGCCCACTCTGACTTCCCACCCTCTCCATGGCTGCTCCCTTGCCAATCCCTTTCCTCAGCATGAGCCCCGAGGATGTGAACATAGATTTCCATTATGACTACAACCCTGGCCCAGCCATTGTCACTTGTCCAGCTCAGGTAGACAGTGGAGTCATCACTCGTCCATTTTCATCTTCTACTCCCACTGCAGGTGGCCCTGCACAGAGCCAGCCCTGTCCACAACGGGACACAGGTGCACCACACACGGCCCTGGGCACCTTTCCCTTCAGTCACTCTCCTCTTGTGGGACCTTCTAGACCCACCTCAGAACTCATACTGTCCCACACATGTTGAGTGAGGATGAGCTCTGCCCCTGGCAGAGGGGCCCTTGGCAGTCAGGACCCTTGCCAACTCCAAATTTCTCTTTGCACTGTCTGGACTTGGAAAGGACACAAGCTGAGCAGCACTGACCAGTGGGATCTGGAGACTTCAATGGAGCACACACCTGTGTGTGAAGACTCGGTGCTCCCCCATCCTTTCCAGTACCCCTGAACCTTCCCAAAGCTGCTGCTCCAGGGCGAAGAAGCAGAAATACCCATGATAAGCTCACACCGGTAGCTCATGTCTGCCATCCTAGCTACTCAAGAGGCTGAGATCTGAGAATCTAGGTTTGAAGCCAGCCCAGGCAAAGAAAGTTCCAAGACTCTTTATCTCCAATAACCACCAAAAGAAGCTGGAAGTGGAACTGTGGCTCAAGTGGTAGAGCACTAGCCTTGAGAAAAAATGTTCAAGGGTAGTGACCAGGCCCTGAGCTCAAGCCCAGGGACAACAACCAAAAAAAAGGAAAGCAGGAAAGGAAGGAAGGAAGGCCCATGCTTTTCACAGGTCCCAGGATAAGCAGACCCCATGTAGGCAGCACCCCAAACTCCTTATCTGCCTCTCTAGTCTCACCTCCCTCCCCCGCCCCATTCCCTCTGTGCCCTCTGCCTTTCCCTGGGCTCCAGGCTGTCCCTCACTAGGAGCTTCATGGGGCCTGACCCTCCCATCTACTGTCTGGGAACAGGCAGGACCTTTCTCCAGGGCTCCCTGAGAGTCAGTCTGTGGGTGCTGTAACACTCTTGGGTACTGCTGGTCTCTCTGGGAAAGGACTTGGATGGGGCCCCATCCAAGCCTAACAGCCTGGGAGCACAGAACCAGGTGGTCTTTCAGTAGAGTCGTCATGGCAACAGAGACACGCATGGTCCATAGGAGGCAGAGCTGGTTATTTATCTGTCAGCAGGTGGTCAGGTGATTAGCCATGAAGATGTGTGTCCCGTGGTCCATTTGAGAAATGGGCATGGGGATTGGCACTGGTCCTAGGACTAGCAGGTGACCCATCAGTACAGCAAGAGCACCTGCTAGCTGCTGAGAGCCAGGTGTGGTGTCTGATGCTGCCCGCAGCAGCCTTCCATAGCGAGGGGGCACTCAGTGGGTGCTGATCACGAAGGACATGGTGCCCTGCTCCGGGGCCGGGGGGAGGGGGTGGAGACCAGAAGGGATTAGGAGGGAAGACAGGTAGGTAAGTGCACTTGTGCCATGGTGCAGGGCAAGCCACACAGGGCACCAAGGCCACAGGGGAAAATGGCTGCTGAGTTCAGTGGGCCAGAGCAATAGCTTGAGGTGCAGGGTTTGGAGCTGAGTCAGAGGGGCAGAAGTGGGAGGTTGAAGGGAATTCTGAATGGACAGTTTCCAGAAAGGAGGGGAACAAATGGGTGAAGTTGGAAAAATGATAGCTTATTTCCTTCCTTCCTTCCTTCTTCCTTCCTTCCTTCTTTCCTTCCTTCCTTCCTTCCTTCCTTCCATCCTTCCTCTCTTTCTCTCCCTATCTCTCTCCCACCTCCCTCCCTCCCTCCCTCCCCCTCCCTCCCTCCTTTCTTTCTTCCTTCCTTCCTTCTTCTTTGGGCTTGAACTCTCAAGACACTTTCTCTTAGCCTTTTTTCTAAACTCTGTGCTCTCTTGCTTGACCCACAGCTCTACTTTTAGCTTTTTGCTAGAAGTTCATTGGAGATAAGAGTCTCATGGACTTTCTTGGCTGGTCTGGGTTTGAACTGTAATCTCAGATATCAGCCTCCTGACTCCTACTACCATGGAGAGGTGGTAAGATGTGCCAGAGAAGTAAGCCAAAGTCAGTGGGTAAAGAATCTAGAATGTTATAAGGAATTCAGATCTGAATCTTGATGGAACCCTATTGTCCAGTCTGTGGAGGCTAGGTATGGGGTGGGTAGGATAGGTTGGAGGGTAGAGATCCTCTGTTCCCCATGGAAGGAGGGAGGTAATTAGAACAAGGTTGGCAGGCTACAGAGACTGGCTGACTCTGGAGCTGGTGAGCAGAAAAAAACAGCAGGTTCCTGTTAGAGTTTGGACGGGGGAGGAGAAGGGGGACAGTGAGTGCAAGATGGTTCCCATGCTACCAATTCTAGAGGAAAGCCATTCCCAGAGATGAAGGGGGGAGAATGGGGGGGGGGGAGATGGTGGCTTCCGCTGGGGACATGCTGCTGGCAGGACACATGAGGTGTCCTATGGATGGCAGGAGATGAGGCTGCACCCAAGTGTGTCCACGGCATACACAGGGCATGCGTGGGTGGTGATGGGGTTGACCGGGGTGAGCAGCAGAGCAAAGAGGTGAGAACAGAATGGGCAGTTGGAGAGAGGCAGAAGATGAACTCATTGAGGAAAAGCTCCCATGAGGGGGGAAAGGAGGGGACAGCCTGAATCCAGCAACGGGCTTTTGATAGCATGAGTCCTGCACTACCCAGCAAGACAGCAAGGGTCAGCTCCACACCAGAGATGGAGAATGGGAGTTCAGCCGGGCACTGGTGGCTCACTCCTGCAATCCTGCCAATCAGGAGCTCTGAGGACCATGGTTCAAAGCCAGCCCAGGGCAGTGTCAGTTGCTGAGACTCTTAGCTCCAGTGAACTGGCAAAGTGGCACAAGTGGTAGAACACTAGCCTTGAGCACAAAAGCTCAGAGGCAGTGTCCAGACCCTAAGTTCAAGCCCTCCTGCTCCCCACACCATACACAGCCACAAAAATGGGGGCTCCAGGACATAAGACCCAGGGTGTGCAGCTGGAAATGGGCTTAGAACCCACAACACAATACATTATCCCTGTTGCATCAGAGAGTAGATGCACCATAAATACTGAATGGATGAATGGATGAGTGGATGGACAGATGGAAGTATAGATGGATGGATGAATTAATGGATGGATGGATGGATGGATGGATGGATGGATGGATGGATGGATGGATGGATGCTGTTAGTAGGAAGCAGTATGCTACAATTGAAGCCATAAGGAGGACAGCCCAGGAGTATGCGCCTGGGAGTCTGTCCATGAACGGAAGCAGCTTGGACTTTTTATAGCACTGCAGTCGTGGCGGTGACAAAAGCTCGTCTTCCGTCAACTGCTCTGCGAAAGATCCTTTCAAGTCTTTTCAGAGCAAGCATGCTCCCCCTTCTCTACATTCCATTCTTGCTTGCAAACGAAGGATGATTTTAGCAGGCAGGCCCTCTTTATTTTGCTAAAGCACACGATGAGGAAAATGGACCCCCTAGTCAGCACTTTCCAATTTTGAATGATGCTAAAAACTGATCCATAAGGGCTGGCTCCTCTTTTCCATGCGTCAGAGGCCCGCAGGCCTGTGGAGGGGACGAGGACCCACAGTGAGGCCACAGCTCCTATCAGGCTGGGCCACCCAGGAGGCCATCGCTGGGGAGATGGTGCTGTACAGGGCCCAGCTGGCCTCCTGGATGCTCAGCACATCCTCCAGGCCTGGTGCTGTCTGCAGGGTGGGGTCCAGGCTGTGTCCCCATCCCCGAGCATGACCAAGAGCCCAGAGGCAAGCTCAGACAGACGCTTGGTAAATCTTTGTTGAATGGCTGAGTTCCAGGGTCATTGTACAGCTTGCACCTGTTAGCCACACTGAGCTCACGGAAGCGATCTGCTTCTAGAGTTGGTAGATGTAAATTTTCCTTCAAAGTCAAGATAGGTCAGGGGAATGGGGAGAATGGCAAAATACTTCCTGAACCGTAAGGTAGCTGGCACTTAGAAGCACTTCCCCACCTGCCAGGCACTGTGTCTTGTGCTTCAAGGGGATTATCTCAGGCAATCCTCCCAGATTATCTCAGAGAAAACTGAGGTGGGTGCCAGGGGGTGGGGGGAGTGGGGGGAAGCTACCTGAGGCCACCTGGGTCTGTTGGTGGTGCTGAGGTTTTCATATACCTGACAGAGATCTACTGTAAGGAGGTAGAAAATTCTAGAACGGGGGGGGGGGGGGGGAGAATATGGCTGACTTGGGTCTTGTTCCTGCCACCAGCTCCCCAGGGGACCTCAAAAGGGCCTTTCCTCCCCTCTAGCCTCAGTTTCCCCACAGGTAAGGTGAGTAAGAAGATTGAAGAAGGGCTCCATATGGGCAGAGGTCCCCCAGTAGCCTGGGTAGGAGGGCCTGTTCTGTGTCCAACCCTCAGGGATACCTGTCACCGCTTCCCTTCACCTCTGTTGCCTTTCTATCCCCAGGGGAATGATGTCCGGATCATCCTGGGCCAGTTCGACCAGCACATGGCAGCCAAGGTGTTCTGCTGTGTAAGTAATGCGGGTCTGTCTGTCTCTGGCATCTAGGATCACCAAGCCTCTCCCACCAGGTCACTGCACTTTGCCTGGTCACTGCGGCCAGCCGTGAGGGGTTGCAGGCTGCAGTCTGGACTCCCTGCAGCAGAAGCTCCATGCTCAGTGCTCTGTCCCCTATCCAAGAGCCTTCAGGGCAGGGCTGGGCAGTCACAGAGCCTCTGAATCACCTGTCCCCACCTGCCCCAGCCCCTTAACTGTCCCCCACCTCCCAGGCCGCTCAGTCAGATGCTCATCAGAGCTCACTGTGGGCACTGCCCAAGGGAGGGAAACACTTAGATCCCAGGGCCACCCAGGTCCTGCCTGCTTGCAGGCCAGAAGTACAGGACAAGTGAAAACTCTTCATGTTCTCATCCTGAGTCCTGTAAAGCTGGCCACAAAGTATACACCCCGTGTGACAAGTCATAAAGGTCTTTTTTGTTTAGGTTTTGAGACAAGGTCTGGTTGTGTAGCCCAAGCTGGCCTGAGCTCTCTTTCCTTCCAACTTTACCTCCCAACTGCTGAGATTATAAGAGTACACTACCACGCCCATCACAAAAAGCACCTTTTCTCCTTTGACCATTCCAGTAATAGTAGGAGTGAGGAAGCTGTGATCCTCCCATTTTCCATGTGGGGAAATAGGGGCCTCCACCCCTCACCCCTATCGCCCGCTCGTGGCAGGCTGGGCCCCAGGCCCTATTCACCTGACTCCTAACCCCATCAAAACAATGAACTTTTTTCTCCCTATGGGCTTCTAAGTTGGTTAACTCTGTTTCCACTTGGATGCCCCTGGCTCCCTGCTGCTCCCCAGGACAGGAATAAAGCCCACAGAATGAGAGCCTGGGCACCCAAGTCATTGTCCACCTGCCAATCTTCCCCTCCTTGACTAAGGCCATGCCGGGTGACATTGTGAGAGATTGGTCGGCCACAGATCTCTTTTCTCTTGTACCTTGGGTCAGGAAGTTGAATGAGGTTGTAAACATCAGGCTTGTAGGGACTGCGGAAGTTCTGAGATATATTGGATGGCAGAATCAGGGAGCAAAGAACCTGGGCCTCCTGTGTCCCTGGGCCTGACTGGGTCTGTGTCCCTAGGCCTGGATGCCTGTGTTCCTGAGGCTGATCAAGCCCATGTCCCTGGGCCTGACTGGGCCCATTTCCCTAAGCCAGTAGGGCCTGTGACCCTGGGTTGGCTGCCCTTTCTCCCCAGGCCTGGCCAGGCCTGTGTCCCCACAGTGCTGGACTGTCACCCCCCCACCCTTCTCCCTGACAGCACCGGTGCCCTGGGGTGAGGGTGACATTTCCCCTAGAGCTTTCACCCCTGAAACCTTCAGAGAGGTTTGCTTAGAGCTCGAGGCTGGGTGTCCAGGCCATACGTGGGACCCCTGGGCGGGGGGAAACCACTGCTTGAGGCCACCTGGGGGGTCTCTGCTGAAGGTCCCATGGGGGGTTCCACCACTCTCTCTACCCTGGATGGAGGAGCAGGTGACGATGAGGGGGCTATCGGAGCAGATCCCTTTGAGCATTCCTGCCCCTGCTGGGTTGTGGCACAGACCAGATGGAGACTGCGGTGGCTTTGCCAGCCAAACACCATCGCCCAGCTTTGCCGTACCATGCTGGGCTCCCCAGATCTGAGCGGACACCCGGTGGGAGCGCAGATACCAGCCAGCGCAGGCTTATTTATAACCCAGGGCAAAATGTACACTTGAGCTGCAGAGCAGCATGGCTTGTCACTGTCTGTGTCTCCTCCACCTTAGCTGCTCTAGTCTAAATCCCCAGCCTTCCGAGCTCAGTTCGGGGCTTAAACAGTGCCAGCTGTGTGTCCTCAGGCTAGCCGCTCAACATCTCCAGCTCCTAGATGCCTCATCTCTAAAACAGAAGCAATATTCCTTGCCTACTTGCTCCCTTGGATAAAGTGAAGGGGTGGTTATGCTGATTGGCCATGAGGCCTAGCTGTCACAGGTGGAGACCTCATTTAGTCATTCCATGGGCAAAGCTGTGTTCCGGAAAGTTCTACCACCCCAGGGAGGGTGGTAGACCAGGGTACTAGTCAGTTGACCCAAGCTTCTGCTCCGCCTCCTCCTCACCTAGTGGTCCTTGCCTCAGAGCCCCGGACAGACACCTGCTTGGGTGTCCAGACAGCCCTTGAGCATTCCAGCATGGGACCTGGACTCTTACATAACTTGCCTTCCTTGCCCATTGTAGGTGGACATGGAGGGCAGCTGCAGGCAGGATGTACAAATGGAAGGGGCCTTGGGGCAAGATCTGAACTTATACATGGCATGCCCAGATTAACACATGCAAAAATGTAGAGACTTCTCAGTTTACCCAGTAGAATCTTATAGGAACTTCCCACTTAACAATTAACAGTCCTGGCCATTTGAAAAGTACCATGCTGGCCACTTAGTAGCCACCATAAGAGGCACATTTTAGGACTAAAGACAAAAAATATCCTACTTTATTTCCCCAAAGACCTATTATATTTTCTCTTTGTTAATGGTGAGAACAATGTAAATCAGCTTTTTCCCCTTTTCTCTTATATCACCAGTAAGCTCACCGTGAAATATGTAGATTAATTTTAAGTGGAATCTTTTATCTGTTTGTCTATAGATGGTTCTCCTCAACTCCTGAAAACATCATATTTTTATGCTCCCAAGCCTTTCTGTTTTCAGTTTCATTCCATGCTTATTACTTTGTGGTGCATGTTGTCTATAAACTATCTCAGATCCTTGACAGGATGACAGGGTGGAGACAGAGTAGGTGATTAGGAAAGGGAATGGAGTCTGGAGAGAAGGAAGCCTGACTCTTCCCAGGCCTCTCAAAGAGCCAACATCTCACCACTGCCTTCCCGGCCTGTGTCTCGCGCAGGCCTTCGAGGAGAGCATGTATGGTAGCAAGTACCAGTGGATCATCCCGGGCTGGTATGAGCCCGCCTGGTGGGAGCAGGTGCACACAGAGGCCAACTCATCCCGCTGTCTGCACAAGAACATGCTGGCTGCCATGGAGGGATACATCGGTGTGGACTTTGAGCCCCTCAGCTCCAAGCAGAACAAGACCATCTCGGGGAAGGTCAGTGCCTCCGTTTGTCTTTCATAGCCCCAACCCTCCCCCCTCCCCCCTGTCCCCCAATCCCGATTCATCCTGGCTGATCATGTTAGCCAAAGGTACGTGGTTAATGTTCTGGATGGCGCTGTGACATTGAGTCAACGACTTGGCCTCTCTGAGCCTTGACACGTGTAAAAGGGAAATAGCTGTACATGCCTCCAAGGGAGCAGTGAGGTACTGAGGTACGGATGCGTCATAGCTGAACCACGCTGGTTGGCTGAGAGGCGGGGACCTGGCTTGCTTCGCTGTTGTTTTGGTGCTGGGTCTTGACATCGAGGCCTTACATTCTCATTTGGCATTTTCACTTGAGGCTGATGATCTACCACTTGAGCCACAGCTCTGTTTCTAGCTTTTTGCTGGCTAATTGGTGATAAGATTCTCATAGATTTTTCCTGCCTGAGCTGGCTTCAAACCATGATTCTCAGATCTCAGCCTCTTGAGTGGCTAGGCTTACAGGTGTGAGCCACCAGCATGGGCTTGGCTTTTGCAACACCAACTACAGGGTTGTCAAGGCTCGGCCGGGGCTCTGTTCTGTACTCCCATGACCTGGAATGTGGTCTCATTCATGTCTCATTGCTCTGTCCTTGGCTGGAGTGAGGGACCCCAGCTGGATAAGCTTGACATGAGCCCTCCATCCTGCTGCTTCCCTCAGTCAGTGGGGCTGACAGCAGATTGTGCAGGGTGCTGGCACAGCTGAGGGTGAGGCTACAGACGGGGGAACCGATGTCTTCTACCCACTGCCCCTGGGAGTCCCAGGACTGTTCAAGGTCAAGGGTGCCTGTGACAGTATTTCTAACGTCCCTGTCTGGACCAGGGTGGGGTGGGGGGGATCTAGATTGAGTGGTAGTGACCCACATGAGAATAGCTGTACTTATGTTTGCCCTGACTGAGCCAGGTCCCAGGGCCCCCACAAATGGTTCTTCCACCCAACCCAGGGCTCTTACAGATCCCATTCCATTTAAAGGAAGAAAAAAAAGAGCATCATAATAAAGTGTGTATATATATATATATATATATATATAATTTTATTCATTATTTAATCTCAATCAGAGCCAACGTCTACAGCAATGATTTATGGATTTGTCAAAAGGTAGCAAATCATTAGGATGGATTTTGTAAACAAGTCCTTAGATCATGTTGGCACCTGGTTAGAAAATGCCTAAGGAAATGTTTTCATATCAAAATCAATGCCTCTGTGGAAAAGAAAAACTTTTTGAGTTGTTGAATAATGAGCAGAAATAAGTCATTTTATTTTGGTAAATGTTATTTTTAAGGGTGTCAAAATTTGCAATTTATTAAGATACTTGGTTGCACAGATATCTTTAAATCTTAAAAAAAAGTATTAGAAATTAGTATGAAATTTGAGGAAAATGCAAAAACTAAGGAAGAAACCCCCAAAGGCAGCTGAATAAGAGGTAACTGGAGACCTGGGGAAGGTCAAAGTTGTGAGGTGGAGAGGTAGGCGTGGCCTGTGGAGGCGTGGCCTGGAAGGGGCATGACCTGAAAGAGCGAGGTCTGGATAGGCAGGGACTGAGGGGGCGGAGCCTTGAGATGAGAGGGGTGGGGTCTGAAGGGTGGAGCCAGAAAGGGGCGGAGCCTGGGTTGCAAGACTCAGAAGGGCTGCAAATGCAGAGAATGGAGTATGAATGTCACCTTTCCCCCAGTGGAGGGAGCTGCCCTAGGGAGCACAGGCCTTGGGAATGCACTTGAGGACCTTCCTCAGGAAGGTCTCCTGAGGAAATATCCTAGCATTTATGACAGCGTCCTCTACTTTTGTTTTCTACTGCTTTACCTGAGTGTACAGGAGACAGCTGCTCCCCACAATGACCCATACCTGGGGATACTTTGGGGCTGCACACTCACCCTACAGTTATGGACAACCTAGATGACTCCATAAGTCAAGGAGATCCAGCCTTGTTCTTGCAATTTCTGAAGCAAAGGGTGGCATTTCCCATGCAACCCTATGGTGACAAGGTAACCGAAATCCCCAGGGAGGCTTGCTTCCTCTGAGAATCAGAAAGTGTCAGGTCCACCCCAGAGATAAGTTAATGTCTCCTCCCACCCATCCTCAGTTCCTGTCCAAGCAGAGGACCCACTAATCATTTCCCTACCTGTCCTTCAGAACCCCCCGACCCCCAGCCACATAGGACCCATTGACCCCTGTGTTAATGTTTAGCTGAACTGATGACCTTGAGTACTGTCCCTCCTACCACCAAGCAGCCCCAGTCTCTACAGCCTGGATGGACACAAAGGGCAAAATTTAAGGATGCTCAAAAATTCAGTAATCAAGATGTAGACAGATGATGATTATATTATATAATCTGTAATCTTTATGTAAATACTATCATGTAATCTATAAAGATTCTATATAGTTATATCTATATGTAGATACAAATATATAGATACATCAAAGTGCTTTCCTTTAGAGAGAGTTGTTGATAAGAAAAATTTTCATGATCATTCTCTGCACCTAACCTCCACTGTGAGACTGGGACAGCATGCCCCACTGTACCCAAGGGGAGACCAGAGTGTTTCACCAGAGCATGCGGGGTATATTGCTGTGGGCTTAAGGTTACATCTTTTGGTGTCTATATAAGCCTTGAAGTCTTTGTCTTGTAGGAGGGCTCTGATCCATCCTGCTGCTTCTTGCAGCTTCGTCAACTTTAGTGAAGACTTTAAAGTCTTCCAGGGCAATTACTCCAATCCAAATTTCATGGTTCCCAACTTCTGTCTGGGCCACAGTTTCATCAATCTGCTTGTTTGCCACAACAATCTCACCCCAGAGCATGATGGGACAAAAGCACAGGTGAACTGTGTTAACCTTTGGATTGTTGCAAACAGTCATTTTATAGTCCGGGTCATCTCTGAGTTGGGTGATTAATCAAAATAATATTTTTATATAGGATTTTTATAGCTAAAAAGCTATTTGAAATGGTTTAGGAGATTTGGGAAGCTAATTTAAATACATCTACCTTGAAGTCCTATAAATAGGTTGTTTTTAATGGACAAAAATTCTTTCATATGATCTACCCCCAAGGCTATGAGGGTATTTTCCACCTTTGTCTTATAGAAGCTTTGGTGTTTGGTCTTCCACATTTAGATCAACAATCAACCTGACAATGTGTGCTTGTGTTGGTATGAGGTAAGGATCATGATTCCTTCTCTTCTTCTTTCTCTTCTCTTCTTTCTCATCTGGTTTTATGTTGGACCCAGAATCATTTATGGAAGTGCCCAACTTTCCCCATGGTGTGCTATGATGTCAGCTCATTACCAATCAAATGGCTGTGGGTACATGGTTCCATTTCCAAACCTCATTTTCTCTTTCAGCTCTTTGTCTTTCCTCAAAACACCTTGTGTTCTCTAGCTTTGTACTATTAGTAAGTAGGTCCTCCTCTGTAGTAATTCTTGGAGATTGGCTCAGCTATTCTTGGCCTTTTGCATTTCCATATACATTTTAAATCAGGTCATCATCACATGCACAAACCTGTCCTGGTTTTTGTGGGAATTTATTTTTATTTCATTTATTTTTATCAAATCTGTGGATTGATTGAGGAAAACTGGCTATTTGGTAATGTAGTCATCCACTGCAAAAACTTTGCCTATTTCTGCATTTTAGTAAGTTTTCAATTTATGGGTAGAATTCTCACCCATATTTTGTTTGGTTTATTTTTGGGCATTTGATGTGCTGTGATGAATTCGTGTTCAACATTGCTCTTGGGGTCATTCTCGAGGGTGGAATTTCTGAGTCATAGGGGGAGCACATGCTCAGCTTTAGTAGACACAGCCCATCAGTGTTCTAAAGTGGTTACACCATGTTACACCCCCTCCAACCGGTAGCGGGGCTCCCAGGCACTGAACATGCTTACAACATCGGGTGCTATCAGGTTTTATTTTTAGTCAATCTAGGGGGTGTGCGGTGTTATCTCATTTTTGTTTTAACTTGTGTTTTCCTGATAGCTGATGAAGTTGGCATTTCTCACGTCTTTGTTAGTCACTTTGATACCCTTTTTGGAGTTGCCTGTTCAAGTCTTTGGCCTGTTGGATTATCTGCTTGTTCCCCCACAGATTTGCAGTTCTTTTTTCACTTAAGAATGGCCTTGAAGGTAGGTAGAAACTTCTTAAATATTCTAGATATGAAGCCTTTGATAATTATATGTATCATTTTCTCCCATTCTGTGGCTTATCTATTCATTTTAGATAGATAGATAGATAGATACACATACATGTACATGTACATGTACATATAAACAGTACTGAGGCATGAACTCAGGTACCCTACTCCTTGAGCTACACCTGAAGTTCTGAATATATTTTGTTGTTGTTGTTGTTGTTTGTGTTTTATGTGTATATGTTAGTCCTGGGGTTTGGAATTGAGGCCTAGGCACTGTCCCTGAGCTTTTATTACTGAAGGATAGAACTCTACTCCTTAAGCCACAGTTTTTTGGTGCCTAATTAGAAATAAAAGTCTTGTGGACTTTTCTGCCTTAGCTGGCTTTGAATCATAATCCTCAGATCTCAGCCTCCTGACTCACTAGGATTATAGACATGAGCCACCAGTACCTGACTCATGATATATTTTGATGAACAGAAATTCTAAATTTTAATATAATCCAATTTACCTTAAGATATTACTTATTTATTCTTATTTTATTGAGGATTTATTATTTATTTATATTTATTTTATTGGGGATTGAACCCAGGGCCCTGTGCATGCTAAGAAAGTACTGTACCACTGAGATACATCCCCAGCTCACATAATCCAATTTATTAGTCTTTTTATTAATAGTATATTTTTGTTCTGTGTAAGCATTTTTTATGGTACCAGATCTTTTGCTTACCCAGCTTGCTTGCTTGACCGATTATCATTTGAGCTATTCCTCTAGCCAGGCATTTTAATACTTATTTTGGAGATGGATCCTCACAGATTTTACTACTCAGGCCCTTGTGGGTAGCTAGTATTATTA